TCAAGATGACCTGAGGACCTGCGAGACTCACGCTTGGTGATGCTGTCGGAGCAGCTAGACCTGGCGCTTGCTGTCCCGCAAATTGGTATACAACCTAAAAATGTGAAACGTCGAGAAATCGTACAAGACCTGTTTGACGCGTTCTTATGCATCGCGTAATGGACTTTTACAAAAGTGTCAAAGGGAGGTTAAATTGCAAGTTCTAAAAGTACCACCGACATTGGGACGGAGTTCTTATTATGATAGAAAGCAGAAAAGGATAAAGGAAGCGGCTACCTGCTGCCCTCCCGTCGTAGCAAGAACCGGAGCGTGAGACATTGCGTTCGTAAGCACGGTAGCTCCGGCGACCAGCGGTGATTCCATCATGCCTGGTCTTGGTTGCATGGATGCAGCGCCCACAGCGCCGTTGGCAGCGGTAGAGGGAGTGGTGGTGGTGTGCATCAACTGAATGACTGACGGTGTGCCCGGAGCCCCGGGCGTCGCCTGATAAAATTGCATTGCTGCCGCAGCTGCATGATGCGGTGTGCTCACGGACAGAGAACTGGACTGAGCGCTAGGCTGTGCAGTGCCAGGCGTCTGAAGTTGAACTGGTGCCTGGTTGATCGTTGTCGACATACCAGTGCCAATGGTTACGTTGTGAGGATCACCGTGTGAAACTAAATCATGATGATGAACCTGCATGAATTTTTCCTGCTCCTGCAATCGGGCCTTTTGTTGTGTCTCCTGTTCCTCCATTCGACGTTTTATGACTTGTGCCTTGCGCTCGTATATATCACGCTCATGAGAAGGCATCTGACGCCACTGTAAAGCAAAAATAACTTCACACAATGCCAATTAGCATAAGAAGCGCATTCCAAACTATACCGCTTTAAACAGGCAAGGTGAGTGTGTGTGTGTAATCCAACGCTACTATGAGCCCGTGGGTGAAGTAGTTCTTTTGTTAGTAATTCCTAAAAACCCAACATTCAACAATCAAACTGACCCATACCGCACATGGCTTAATGCAAAACGAACAAACAGAAAGTAGTATCGTTAATTTGTTGCGATCCTCGATAAACCTGATTAGCGAACTCACCATTAATCCAACCTCACGCGATATTTCCCCGAATGGTGCATCAGGGCGGTCTTGAAGCAGTTTTTTACGAACTTCACCAGCATAGATTACATACCCTGACGGTGGCTTTCGAAGTTTTCGCTAGTAAAAAAAGAATACAATACCACATACGCGGCAGTGCAATCGAGAGGCATAGATGAAAATGGAAATGCACTAGAAGGGAGAAAAGTACCGTTCTAAGACCACAATGCCATTGGCCTAGTTTAAAGCACTGTTCGTAGCAGCCGACCAGAATGACTAACCTACAGGTTGAGGCGAGTTCTATGTAGAAGCGTGCGTCTTGTGACTATTTGGTGCATTATTCTTAAAAGATAAAGGTAGCAAACTGAAAACAACTACACCGTCACTTCTAAGGCATACAAATTTTAGCAAAGTACGGTACCAAATTGGTGAATTTGAAGGTACTAGCAAGTAACCTTAACTCAACAGATGCAGCACAGCAAAAATGAGGTGGTAAATGCTTAATTTATCTGAAGTCCGTAAACGCTTAAAACACAAATGACAGCATATGGCCAATTTAGGCTAAACAGTTTATGCAAGATCTAAACGGGAATGCCTGAACCCGGGAAAAAGAGAAAATATGATGATTCATTTGAGTGATTTAACTTGTGCAGGAGAGCTCAGGGTTGTGACACTGGATAATTGTTAAATGAGTTGATAGCTGAGTTAGAAGGGACAAGAGACAATGAACACAGGTGGA